GAATGAGGACAGCAATCCTGGGAAAGCTTGATTGTTGTCTGAGTGTTCTCTCGATGTTCTTTGATTTTAGCATCTTTGACCCCAATAATTCCTCCTGCCAGACTGATCAATCAACAGCCTCAACTGTTTTGACTCAAGCAAAAGTCAAAGTTGTTTCCTTTATAGAGTTGGTCATTTAAGCCTTCCACATCAGATTCTAGCAGGAGCTGGCTGGTTGCAGTGGATGACTGCAACTGCAGGCCCTCTTCCAAGGTAGGGATGATTGTATTCAGAATTTCTCCAATTGTTTCAAAATCAGCACTGACGGTCAATATGTGCTCGGGTCACTGCTGTCTAAGGCTGAAACCCTGTCCCTGTCCTCTGTACGCAGAGCCTGAATATTCCTGCCTCCTTTTCCAATCACTGCCCAGCATTCCTGCTCTGAAGCAGAATGCATAATTCAACCAGCCTATCAGTGTTTGGAGATCTTCTAAAAGCTTCTCCTTCCATATCTTCTGCAGGGCATTTACCAAATTCACCACTGGTTTTGGTGTTGGAGAAGGTTTCTGCAGGCTGTTCAGTTTCCATTTCCTTGGATTAAATGGACACAGCAATCTATAGGCCGTAAACAACTGGGACGTAGGCAAGACGTCGAGGTTGGTGCCACCAAGAAACAGAGGATAATCCTGAAAGTCTTTTTTTAAGACAGGGTTTATTAGGCCATTGCTGACCAAAAAAGGGGGGGTGGAGGGGTTGGGGGGGGCTCTGATATGGCTATTCCCCCACTCCCTGAGCCAGGTCTTGGGGCCTGGAGTCTAAACCACCAGCAGCATGGCTACGTTGGACGACAACATGTCTGTTGTCCCTGAGTTTTGCAAGCGTTTTTATACATCAAGTAGGGGGAGAAAGATGTAAGCCATTCTAATTTACTTTAGCTATAGACATGGAATTGGCTAGTTCAGGGATAGGCGCAGCAGAGTCTGCAAGGGAGAAGTGTCCTGTGGATTTCCTGTGGATTAGCTGTGGGCAGCAGGTTGGAAAGTTCATGTGTAAATAAGACAGAGGTTCCTGGGGTTCAGTAGAGCCTGACTATTCTCTCTTTAGATAATCACAGAAATAGCCACCTGGAAATTATCCTAATTCCAACATATACATGAGATGTGAGCAGTCTTTTCTCAGAGCTGCTCCACAGCTATTAACAGGCTAACTTCTGTCTCCCTTACTCTCTGGCTGCTGTAATTTTAATTTAGAACAGTGCTCAATTTTATTTTATTTTTTATATATATTCGTTTCAGGTGTACAAAACAATGTAATAGTTAGACATTTATACCACTCACAACGTGATGACCCCCCCCAATCTACTACCCCTCTGACATTGAATATAGCTACCGTTACAATACCGTTGACTATATTCCTTATGTTGTACTCCACCTCCCGTAAATATATATATATATATATATATATATATATAAAATAATAGTTGACATTCAATATTATTCAACCTCAGCTTCAGACATATAGCACAGTAGTCAGGCATCTACACAGTCGATGAAGTGTTCTTCCTAATAAGTCCAGTGCCCATCTGGCACCCTACATGTTTACAGCATTATTGATTATATTCCTTAAACTATATTTTATATCCCCGTGGCTA